TAACCTCACCTCTATTCTTGGCAAGACCTTAGAAAAAATCATAAAGGATCACATTTGCAGGGGAACACAATGCTAAGGGGCAACCAGCATGGGTTTATAGCAGGCAGATCCTGCCTGACCAACCTGGTTTCTTTCTATGGCCAGGTCACAAACTACTTAGATGCAGGAGTCGAGGTAAATGTTATTTACTTGGATTTTAACAAGGCTTTTGACACAGTGTCATACCCGATTCTTACAAATAAACTAAGCAGCTGTGACATGGATTTTTTCATAGTCCGGTGGGTGGAAAACTGGCTTAGGGGATGCACACAGAGTGGTGGTGGATGGGCTGGTTTCTACCTGGAGAGACGTGGGCAATGGTGTCCCCATGGGGTATAATAAACGCACTAGAAGGTAGGGAGCAAATCCAGGTGGATTTGGACAGACTGGGAAAGTGGGCGGATCAAAATAGGATGCAATTTAACAAAGATAAGTGCAAAGTGCTGCACGTGGGGGAAAGAATCTCCAACACACCGATAGAGCGGGAAGTACCGTTCTGAGGACCACGGCAGTGGAAAGGGATCTCGCAGTCATTGCCGACGCAAAAATAAACGTGAGTCGCTGATGTGACAAAGTAATAAGTAAGGTTAACTGCACTCTGCCTTGCATTAATAGGTGCATCACAAGCAGGTCTACGGAGGTGATACTTCCCCTCTATGCGGCATTGGTGAAGCCACAACTAGACTACTGCTTCCAGTTTTGGGCGCCGCACGTCAAGAGGAATGTGGATAACCTGGAAAGGGTTCAGAGGAGGGCTACTCGTATGGTTGATGGCCTGCAGGTAAGATCCTATGCAGACAGACTGAGGGACCTCAATCTCTTCAGGCTCTGCAAAAGAAGACTGAGAGGTGATCTTGTGGCTGTGTACAAACTCATCGGGGGGGCAGCAGGGAAAAGGGGATATGATGTTTACCAGCGCACCCCTCGGGGTTACTCAAAACAACGGCCATAAACCGAAGGAGAGTAGTTTTAGATTGGACATCAGGAAGAAATTCTTTACGGTGAGGGGTGCCAAAATATGGAATGGGCTTCCAAGGGAGGTGGTGCTGTCCCCTTCCTTGGCGGTGTTCAAAAGGAGATTAGACAAGCACCTGGCTGGGGTTACTTGACCCCAGCTCTCTTTCCTGCCCAGAGCAGGGGGTCGGACTCGATGATCCCTTCCAGCCCTAGAAATCTATGAATCTGTGAAAAACAAAGCAACTGTCAGAGTCTGAAAGGGAGAGAGAAGAGCACAAGACTCCTGTGAACACTGACCTGGGTTAAAGGAGCACCGCTGAAGGAAGATAAGGATCTGTCTTTGTAGATGTTAGAGGACTAGGTCCATCTTTAAATGTTAAATCTGTTATTTGATAAGCTGGATTCATTAATAAATGATGTTAAAATAATTGCTCTATTCTTTTTCTGTAGTCAAAAAACAAGTGAAAACTAAGCTGGCATTTTCTGAGGGGGGCATGAGTCTAAGAAGGGCCAGCATAAATCTAAGAAGGTTGCAGTGTCAACACAACATTTAAAACTATGTCCTATTTAACTGGTGGGGTTTTTTTGTTTGGTTTTTTTTTTTTTTTTTTTTTTTACAGTTTGTTACTACTTATGCCAAGAGTGTCAGAACCCGGGCCTCTTTGCTGGGCAACAAACAGCCCGTTTCACTTCACTTCTGTCCTGCTCCCCAGTCGCTCTGTTTTGGTCAGCGGCATTTCCCGCGTTCTCATGAGCTGCCATAGCACAGCACGCTGCAGAAAACGTTTGTTAAGCTGCTTCTTTTGGAAGACCCAGGGGTTGGATCCCAAGGGAGGGCAGTGGTGCGCCCTCCCCTCTTCCCTGGGACAGCCAGGAAAGCAGCAGCGGCAGATAGGGAAGTGGGGGAGAGAGGGAGTGACTTTTCTTATGCATTTTGGCTACTTTAAAAAAGTTCCTAGAGGCTCCTGCAGTACAGTCTGCCTGCAGTGGGTAGGCAAAGGAGGTTGGGAGAGGGCTGCAGCCATCCCTGCAGCACGGGTGGCTGCTTCCGTTGCACCCTTTGCCAAATTTTGGATACATCCTTGAACACCCACATATAAAAACAATGCATGAAATTATTACCCTCCTGTAAGCATATGTGATGTTTTGAAAAATCCAAAGTGGGAGCCCAAACTGACCCGAGAGTGTGCCTTTACTTAAGTGATTTCTATTGCACAATATCACAGAATCAGAAGTCGGGTCGGAAGGGACCTTGTAGATCTTCAAGTCCGACCTCCTGCCTGGGCAGGAGGAAACTGGGCTCAAGTGACCCCAGGCAGGTAGGCATTGAGCCGATTCTTAAAGACCCCCAGGGTAGGAGCCAGCACCACTCCCCTTGGAAGTCGGTCCCAGGCCTTAGCCGCCCTGACTGTGAAGTAGTTCTTACGGATGTCTAATCTAAACCTCCTCTCCAACAACTTGTGGCCGTTATTCCTTGTTATCCCGGGGGGCGCTGGGGGAAACAAGGTCCCCCCTAGTGAGTTTACAGACGGTCACCAGGTCCCCCCTGGTCAGCCACCCGTGCTGCAGGGATGGCTGCAGCCCTCTCCCAACATCCTTTGCCCATCCACTGCAGGCAGACTGTACTGCAGGAGCCTCTAGGAACTTTTTTAAAGTAGCCAAAATACATAATATTTCCAATCTGCTAATGCTTTCCTGATAGATTTAAATACTTCTCCAAGTCCTGTGCTGTAAAGCTAATATGCTTTGAGAATTGCTCACAATTCAAACATCATGCTATCCATTTTCCAGATGTATCCACACAATCTGCTACCTGCTCAATACAGAGAAACAAAATGCTGAAGCATGTCTGCCGTGTAGCACATTTAAACCTCATAATGCTTTAGAAACACTAAATGATTCTTTCCCTTCCCTACTCTGCTAGATCCATACCACTTCCAGTGTATAGAGGCTGAGAGGGTGAGTGACTTGTCACAGATGTTACAGGAAGTGTGTGTCAGTACCACAACTAGAAGGAGAGAGTGCATGTTCACGATGTCCCATTCTGCACTCTTAATCAGAACTGCGCTTCAAAAATATTAAAACAACTTAAGATAAATGGGGTGCTTCTGCTGGTGATACCAACGTGGGCTGTCAGCGGTGATAAAACACCCTTTTGGAAGAAACCAAAAGAAGCATAAAGCTCTTACCAAGCTCATTACGAGCTACCCAGATTACCACAACAATTAAAGTTATGGTGTGATTCAGAAAAGACCTTTGGTAAAAATACTAGCTATAGGTATCTTTTCCTGTCTCTCAAATCATACATTGCACCTACCAAGCAAGCTGTGCCATCTCAAACCATTCCTTAAATACATTTAAGATCACATAGTGGTGAAAACAACTTCTCCATTCATCCTATGAATTTAGCAACAGTGAATGCAACAAAAGCCCCTTGGTCCTGGCTGTAGGTGAGGGTGACTACAGCCTCCTCCCTGCTCTCTTGGTGAAGACTCTCCTTTCACCACCCTCCACCACCATTCTCCGATTTGCAGACGATGGTGCCCGGGGTGCTTACCCACTGCACGACATGCAAGTCTGGCACTGGAGGCTCTTTCCTCCAGGGGTCTGACCACTGGTGTATATATTACTGTCTTTTCCAAATCAGTGTTTTATCTTAACATCAGGAACAAAGTATTTAAAAACAAAACCGTTTCCATGCATATTTATCTCACCTACTGACTTCCTGTCCCCCAATGGTAGCCTAAGCAGACCTACCTCCTTCAGATATCACAACCAGTTAGTTTTCTCCAGACAACTCTCTCCTCTCTTGGGGGAAAAGGCCAATGCCTTTTTATACAGTTACAGGTCTCCGCTGCCAGCTCCGTAGGCCGGGCCCTACGTCGCAGAACCAGTCTCATACTGACTGGGGCTAGGAGCAAGAGTCTTCAGGGCTCTTCGGTGGGGGGTTGGGCAAAAGGAAATTTTACTAACGTTCGCTGGAAACATTCTTCTACTCCGTGGCTCATTTCAAACATCAAACACCGATCAGGGCTTTATTTAACATGAATTAGCCCTCAATAGCCATGGGAACTGGGCCTAATTCCCACTGTACAACTCAAACGAGCAGAAAGTCACTACCCCCTAACCCAGCAAATCAATGGCAGAGCTGGCATTTCAGCTCCGTTGCTTCCAGCTGTAAACACAGACTAGACACGCTAGCCCAAGGATGTCCTCCCACTTACTCTTACGTTGCTTTGGAGAACTCAGCATGTTCATATCACTCTCAGATTTCCCCCTCAATGACAGTCTTGCTTCAAAAGCTTGGATTTAATAGTTAAAAATTTTAAATATGTGGTGTTAACCAAAACTTTAATGACAGAAAGAAGTGTATTAAAAGCTAAAAAGTAAAGATGAGCTAAACTTACAGTTGGTGATGTCTGGAGGGGCATAACTATCATTCATGAACATGCTGGTGGGTTTTGCAACTTTCAGATAAACAAAATCAGATGTGTTTTTTAAGGCAGTCACTGCTTCTTCATGAGTAACTTCTTCTAAGCAAACACTGTTCACCTAAAGATAAAGAATAAATCAACTCATCCTTAACATAACACTGTAAGCGTTCATGAGATAATCAAAGAAAGTTTCTCTCATACTTTCTGGAGCGTTCCAGCACCAGTAATCTTTACTTGGTTCATGAAAAATCACAGAGCTCTTCCGTTCTGCGGCACTGAAAAGTGTTGTGTGGTGCTGTGTCGATAAATAGAAAAGACAAGTTCCTGCCCAAGCAGTATAACAACCTAGTTTGGAAATACAGCACCAGGGTTGACAAACAGCTCTGGAATATTGGACAGGATGGGTATGACAAGCAGCTCCCACTAACCATCTGCAGAGATACCTCATTAGCATTTTTAAATCTCGTTTTCGCCTTAATGCCTACAGAAAGGCTTGACAAGGATTAGGCCATAACTGTACCGACAACAATGTGTCCTCAACAGGAGTAGCTCTTTGCTCCTGGCACCCACTGGGATCTCTTGCCTTCTACTTAGACCGTCAGCTCTTTGGGGCAAGGAACCGCTTCTTGCTCTGAACCGTATCTAGCACGATGGGGCAAGGGCCCTAGACGCTGTGGTAACACAAGCAATCATCGAGCAAACAGTGAAAGACTCTTCAGTTATTCATGAAGCTGCTTTATTCTGCGTGCATACAGTCACACAGGGTGCGTGCACACTGCCCGTAAATTATGGTGTTCTAATCGGAGTCAGCGAATTTGTGCAAGAGGCGTGCACTGGAGGTAAGCTGGAAACACACAACTCAAACCCAAAACTGGTTGACCAGTAGGCCTGTGCAAAGTGGCTAGTATTCGCTTCAGATTTGGATTCGACTGATTCGGGGGACAGCGATTAGATCTGGTGATTCAAATCACTGCCTGAATCGACCCGGCCGAATCTGACCTGGAGATCTGGCCGCAGCAAATCTCTGAATTGGACATGCCCCGCCCCGGGAATGGCTGCCCTGCCCGCCCCAGCTCCCCGCTCTTTGGAAGGACAAGTCCAGCACTCACCAGCTGCTGCCGGGCGGGCGGGGGGCGAGCTTGGCTGCCCCAAACTGCCCCACGCTGCGTGGAGAGCTCAATCACAAGCCCCTGTCCCGTGTCCCCCACCCCCCTCAGCCCCAGCTCCTGGCTCTTAAAGAAAAGCCCCCACTCACTGGCTGGCGCCAGGCACGGGGGGGGCGCCACCCCCCCCC